AGACAGAGAAACAGACACTATCCAAAATGAAACAGAGAGAAAATGACTAAGTAAAATAATAAACAGAGAATCAGTGAGCTACAGAAAAAAAATCAAGTGGCTTAATATATGTGTAATTGGAGTTCTAGAGGAAAGGGAAAGGGGAAAAATTAGAGCAAGTTAAAAACTTAAAGGCAACAAAAGAAATAATAGAGAAGAGCATAAATCAATGAAATAAAAGAAAAATACACAATAGAGAACACTCAAAGAAACCTTAAGTTAATTCACTGAATAGATCAAGAAAATGGATAAACTTTTAGCTAAAATGTTCAGAAAAAAAAAAAAGAAAGAAAGAAATCACCAATACCAGAAACGAGAAAGTGGATATCACTGTAGATCATACAGATATTGAATGGCTAATAATGAAATAGCATAAAAATTATACCCATAATTTCTGCAGTGTACATGAATTGGGCAAACTCCTTGAGAGGCACAAACCTAGGAATGTTTGCTCAAGAAGAAACAGATAACCTGAGTTGCCCTATATATATTAAGGAAAATGAGACCTAAGTGTCTTCACTGGAGAGTTCTACCAAATCTTTAAGGAAGAAATAATAGCAATTCTTAATAAATTTTTTGAGGCCAATACTACTGTGATATTACAGACCAATATCCCTTATAAATACAAAAGCAAAAACTATTTAAATAAAATTATAGCAAATAAAATACAATGATCTATATTAGGGAAAATAATACATCATGATCAAGTGGCATTTGCCACAGGGACACAAGGTTGATTTAACTTTTGAAAAGTGATCAATGCAATTTTCAAAATTAACAGAGTAACAAAAAAAATATGAGTATCTCAATAGATGCTGAAAACTTTTTTTACAAAACATAGAATCCACTTATGATTAAATATGCTTAGTAAACTATGAACAGAAGAGAATTTCCTCAACCTGATAAAGAGCACTCGTGAAAAAACCTACAGCTAAAGTTATATTTAGTAGTAAAAGATTGAATGTTTTTCCCTTAAAATCAGGAGTGAAACAAGAATGTTCCCTCTTACCACTTCTATTCAAAATCCAGTGGAGGACACAGCCAGGATGATAGGGCAAGAAAAAGAAATGCAAATAAGAAGTAAATCTCTTTATTTGCTGGCATCATGATTGTCTATGTAGAAAATCCTAAGAATCTACAAAAAACCCTATTATAGCGAGTAAGGTACAAGGTACAATCTGTGCCTTTAAAAAAAAAATATTGTCAGAGTAGAAAACATTCTCATACTTCTTTTGGTTTCACCATGAGAAACTAATTTATCTAAGGCCTTAGTTTATGTATGATGTTTCATAATCAGGTCTCCTTACTATATGTCCTCACAGTACTCTAATTTTCCTTTACAGCCCTCTAAGATTTTAATTTGATATCTTTGGGGTTTTCTGATTAAGTTCTATAACTGCTTTATTGATGTATGCCAATGCCTAGCCAAGTGTCTAGCCTCAGATATGAAAAACCATTTAATAAATAGTATAAGATATAGTAAATTACTAAGGACCTGTTTTAAAAGAATCATTGGCTAATTCATTTTGGACTGAAACTTCATGTTTTTTGGGGTTCACAGTAAAAAAAAAAAAAGCCATTTTTTTTTTCCTGTGTGTCATGCACTGTGCTGGGTTCTTGAGACATAAAGATGAATAGAACAACTTCTACTCTCAAGGGGTTGGCAGTAATTTTAATTGTCATACGCATATGAAGCCAATATAATTCTCAAATATTTCTGGAGAAAAGGAAGATCATAAAGCCTTCTCTATTGGAAAAAATTATTTGAGGTATGTTTCATACAGTCAAAACTTTATGGTATGTATGAAAGACAGATTTATAGATTCTTTAGTTACATATATGCATGAATTAGAAATAGTGGTTCCAAGTATCTTGCTGGAAAGAGAAAAAGAAAAAACATAGTTTGTGTCTTAGCAGGACCTATTAGGTTTTTCAGACAACCACCTGGAATGCTGTAATAAGTTAGGCTCTATTTTGTTACAACCTACCTTCTCCACCTAAGAAACTATTCCCACCTTCCTTTCCAGTTCATTTGCAGTGATTTATTTTATTAGGTCTTTTTGGAAAATCTCCATCTGGAAATTGGGATTTTTATTTTTTTATAGGACCTTGCCAACATGAATTGTGTTAGAGATTTTATTACTGAAGAAAGAAATAATTGGTCTTCAGAAACTGAAATGAAAATAGGACCGTCCATCAGCCTCTTGGAAGCAATTTAGCATGTCAAAGTCAAGTGATCTGAGCCAAAAAAAAAAAAAAAAAAAAAAAAAAAAAAAAAAAAAAGGGGCTCGGTTTTTTTTTTTCCCAAAAGGATCCCATTTGGACAGATTAGTTTTAAAATTTCCCAAAAAGTTTTCATAAAATTTAACAGAGACTTATTCTTTTTATTTTCTTTCTTTTTCTCTAGGAGTGGAAGATGAAATATTCTTTAACTTAAAAATAATTCCAGTTCTTATAAATCTTTTAAATATCATGCTGTAAATCATAAATACAAAACATGTAGAGCAAAAATGTGATTAAGAATTGCCAAGAGTACTTGTAAAAAAATGCAAATTCACTTTCCAGTCTCAGAGATTATAATCTATTCGTTTTTGGAAACCTCAAAACATGCATTTTTCTCAATAGAAATGGAGCTGACCTGGATTAAGCAGTCTGATATTTTACAGCCTCTCAAAAGAGAACATTCTTGTAGAATGGAGATGGACTCAAGAAGTAGTTAGGAATTCTTCTAAACTAGATCCTAACTATATTATTAATTTAGAACAGTGAATTTCTAAAACATGACACATCACACAATTAAATATATTATAACAATTCTAAATGTTCATTTTTACTTTAGTTGGTATTTTGAATACACTCACCTGTTTTCTTCCATTAGTGCAAATAATTGAGAATGGATTTAATTGTTTTAGGCCAGTAAAAACCATTAAAAAATTAGCTATAAGATGAAAGAAACCAGACACAAAAAGGTACATACTGTATAATTCCATTTGTATGAAATTCTAGAACAGGCAAAATAAGCTAGAGGGAGAAAAAAATAGATGACTGGTGGCCTGGGGGATAAAGTTAACTGAAAAAGGGCATAAGGGAATTTTTCAGGTTGCTAGAAATGTTCTATATTTAGACAATAGTGGTGATTATATGAGTGTGTATATTTGCTGAAGCTCATAGACTCCTATCCTTTTAAAATGGGTGAATTTTATTGAATGCAAATTTTACTTCATTAAAGATGATTAAAACAGGCTATATTTGTAAGTTGTTTTTTTTAATGAGTCCAAATTTCTGAAACAAGTTTATTAGGTAGCTTAGAGAATCTCCTGCAGGACAAGGGACTCAGGTGTAGGGGCTACATAAACAGGAGCAACACTTACATCCTAGCTGCAAGGGAGGCTTGGAGGGCGAGTTTGTGCCGTCTACCTTTAAGAGGTAGTCCTCTCCAGTTGGAAAATTTCCCAACTTTGTTTTTGTTTTTGTCTTTGTGTCTATGTTTATGTATGGGTGCATGTGTGTTTTGAAATTTTAAAAAGAAAAAAGAGGAAAATAACATTGACTCATAATCTCTTTACCTAGACTTAATCACTTTAACATATAGATATATGCTTTGGAAGTTTATTCTGTTGATTCTTTAATATATATTGAAGAACACATATATGAATTCATATCAATTAGAATATTAAAGATATTCTATTCTATCCTCTATAATGCTAAAGTTCACATTGACCTCAGTGTTGTCTTTCCTATCTCACCTTCACAAGAAACAACCACTATCATGAATTATATATATATATTTTCTAATATTTTAGGTAAATATGTGATTATAGAAAACATATATTACTTTGGTTACTAAAAATTTACCTAAATGGTATCATGCTATGCACCTGGTTCTACAACTTGCCTTTTTCACTCAATGTGTTTTTCAGCTCTATCAATATTGATAAACGTAGGTCTAGTAGTTAGTAACTCTAAGTACAAATAAATCTGTACAACAGGAATAAAATGAGATATGGCAGCCCAGGGGAAATTCTGTACTATTAGTCTTTTAAGACTTGCTAGGATTTTCTGTTTCTATAGTAGAAAATTCCATAATTTGGATGCCAACGTTATTTGGCTGCTACTTCCACTCAATGTAGTGCTGTCTCTGTACACAAGATGGCAGGGTCTCCTTGGTACAGATAAGGTTGCCATTTCAGATACCAAGAGAAAGAAAGCCAAGCCACAGAAACTTAAACAGAAGAATTTGGCCATATTAGACAAGGAAAAAAAAAAAACCCTCAAAACCTCAAGAAAGTTAGGCATTAACTTTCTAAGGTGAGCACACAAAGTGCAGGTTTTGCAATTGACCGTCTAGACTAAAGTCTAAATAGTAAGTTATTTGGTAACCATTTTGAAAAAGCAGGGTTTTTTTTCCCACACTAATCTTACTAACACTACGGGCATTGTCTGCAGGCAGAAACTATAGTGTTAGTAAGATTTTTTT